ATTACGTCAACAGACATTGATATAACATGCACAAGTGTTGTTTTTCTCATTAGAACACTTGAACATTAGGTTCTAGTTACCCTAAATTTCCTTTAGAGAAGCATATTAAGGGTCATGTAAAAGATAATAAATTTTTTTTAATTACAAAGTCACATAATATATTATTGACAGCCATTTGCTTTCTGGAATTATATTCAGGCTTCTGCTGCCTCAGAAATCATCTTTCCTACCATTTCTGGTATCGCTCCAAGAAGGGCTCAATATGGTACTGTACAAAGGGCATATTCCTGCTCTTCCTCATTCTGTACCTCGGATTCCAAGGACCACTTCATCATACTCATATTTGTCTCACTGAATTTTGAATGATTCTTTGTCCTAATTACTGAATTGCAATGAAGGGGATTAATGATTTAGGACAGAAGTTAAATTGCCAAACAGAATAATCCAAAGGAGACCGTAGGAAAATAAATCTCTTCCTCCCTAGTCTTAATCTGTGCTTCTACCCAACCTATGAAATAGCAGTTTAGCAAACAGTTTTACTATCTAAAGTCATTTCAACTTAAACTGACTGAAGAGATAAAATGAAAATATCCTACAATGATATACTAATTTGCTAAATGAAAACAAAATGAACCATTAACAAAGTGATTTTGCAATGAAAGTAACCATATCCCAGTTAAGGCAGAAGAGTCCCTTTCCCAAAATTAAATCATACAGCTCTCACCTTCATTTATTTAATGACCCAGCTGTCAGAAGCAGAGTTATTTCCATGCCAATCATAAAAGCGTTCAATCTACCTGCAAACAACATATCCCAAGGCAATTTTGTTGCCAAATTGTTAAGACACAAGTCTAGAGCTGGTAGAGAGGGTATTGTGTCACTGTTGGATGCAGAAAAGTAAATGGAGGTCTGGAACAGTTATGGGGTATACTTATATATACGAACAAGTCCTCTTCCAGATGAATAACTGAAACCACAAAACTACATCTTTCTTGACCATAGCCATATAGAAATCTGACCATATGGCTATGAATACAACATATAAAAAAGAAATTAAATCAGCCACATGTTCTCAAAGATTCTTGCAAAAGCAGTGGAATAATGTTGTGACTTGCATAGACTGAACTCTTACTATGTATTAGAATTTCACCCATCCGGAAAAATAGAGAAGTGCAACTGTAAAATCAGAGAATTTCAACCACCAATACCATTGATTCTTTTAAAAATTATTGTGCCCAGTGTATTTAGTACAGAAGCAGCCCATAGAAATTACCACTTAGCATAAAGAATGAAAAATAAAAAAATAAATAACTTAATGCACTGAAATTTGACTGTTATTTTGCCTTTTTTTTTTTTTTTTTTTTTGCTGCTGGGTTAGTTTTGCATAGAGTAAGGCGCTGGATTAGAAAGAGCAGAATTTTTCTAGTTCCTACCTATGTCATTGGTTACCATCTTGGAAAACTTTCTGCTTTTGGTCTTCACTGTAAATAATATTTTAATAAAAAAGATCAATCTAAGTATATCAAAAGGTGAACTGAAGAAAAAACAAGACTAGAGAAAAGAAAAATACTGTACCCTTTTCTATAAAATTATTCATTTTTTGTTCATCATCAGAATTGTTTGGTGAACCAGAACCTACAAGTGGAGACAGAATGAAATGGATATACATTTGTCATGAATGAAGTGGATATACGACACAAAATCAATGTATGAATACAAGCTTTGAGTTTAATGAAGATAAAAAGAGGTATTAAAATATCAAATACTGATACTGGTATTCTCTGTAGCTGTACTAGATATTATACAGTACAAATTATTTTGGTATGACAAGAATTCTGCCATATCAGGATTAATCACAGAAATTATAATGCAAGGTACAATGCTGCACATTGCAGCAAGTTTACTGATAGAAGTATTTCCCTCATTGATTAAATGTTTATATTGAATAACTAAATAGATGTACTAATCATTCCTCCAGACACAATGATTAACCTAAATTATGATTCACAAAACACTGATGTAACAATAAACTCAAGTTCTATACAGCTGTTTCTCTGTCTTTTTTCAATGCAGTAAAGTCACTGTTGGACCACAGTTCTTCAACTATTCTGCAGACAACTCTGAGCCAATGCTACCACCTGGGATTTTTCTATATCCCTAACCCTGAAATACTGGTGGTGGGTACAGATCACAGCTTCAGGTTTGCTGTTGTCATGAAATTAAAATATTGTCAGGAAAGTAAAACATTGTTTAACTAAAACCATCCAAATTTAATTGGATTTTATGCTGCTGAAGTGTAAAATAAGAACAAAACACAAGCATTTTGGCACTCCTGAAGACAAAATCTTGTCAGATTACAATGCTATATAATGTTTTACAGGTCAGATAAACACCCCCAGAGTCTAGGTCTATTACTGCTTGACATTTACAGAAAAAGTGGGAGACGTTTTCACAGTATTTCTACAATTCTGTGTTACTGAAACTGTAGGATATTGTCCTAACTTGCATAGGCAGGTAGTCCCTTTCACAGTCCTCTCAACTATATAGCTACCCACTGGAGGAAGTCTAATGGAAGTTAGCTTCCACTTCTCTTTACCTGGACATTGAAAGGTGGAAGATTTAGATCATTTGAGCAAATTTAGACCTCGGTCCAAACAGAGACTAGTCTCTTTCATAGATCCCATTGTAACAATCAAAGCCAGTAAGGGACTCAATTACCAATCCCATCCTCCAGTCTTAAAGCTAGGAACATGCAAACATTTTGGGCTTCTGTATTTTCCTCTTAACTAGAGAGCCTCTAGATTGGAAAAAATTTACTTAAATGTTGCCTCCATCCTGCTTCACAAGCTCACCAACCCTTTGCAGCAAATATCTCAAAAATGTCCTCTCTTACCTCTGAAAATCAGATGGAATTTTAAAGCTTGTTTTGTGCTCTTGTCCAGAAAAGATATAAAACTTAAACCAAACCTAAGGAATTGCAGTTGTTCTCCCTTCACAAACTTCAAATTATTTCCATGTTAGGAGGTGCCTCCAAGTTTTTTTCAAAGGAAAAATTGAGAAGCCTACCATGACCTTAATCTCATTCACTGAGAGCTGGGAGTAGAGGACAGAATCAAGGGAAGCAAGGCACAGTCCAGCCTCACTACTTCAAGATTATATTTTACATGAGAATGCAACAGTTCCATTCGTCCTCCATCTTTTGTCCATTCGCTGGTTTTGGTACTTTAGACTTATTTATCCATAGTATTGTGCATGTACACATCATAAATTATATATCTTTTCACAGAATACTCAGCTCTCCAAACTTCCAGGTTTTATTCTAAAATGAACTAAGTTCAAAACAGTGTTCTCAGAAAGTCAACCCAAACTGGAGACTCATTTTTACTTCTTGAGGATTGGAAATTTCCCTCTGATTTTGTGTCCTTTCAGGACATTTGAATTCACCTATTCTAAGCCATCTCCTGATTTGATCCTCTTAAAGAAACATTCAAATTTAATTAATTTTTATCGTACTACAGCTCACAGAACTCAGACAGGAGGGAGGGGGTAAACAGAGGAAGGGAAGCAAATTGTTAAATTTAGGGGTTTCCTTGATTTTCATCTTTGGACTTGCCTTCATTGTTAGTAGAAATAGTGAATCAAGGTTTACTCTACTTGAATTCCAACTTATGAAAGAAACTCTCTAATTCATACTACACAGGGTGTTACATTTAAGCAGTATGAGTTGGAAGCAGTTGGGGTTGATATTTGGGTGATGCTGGAGCAAGGGGAAAAGAGGATACACATTAGGGTTTACAACTCATTAGTTGTTCATTGCACACATTTTATAGTAGTCTACCAGAAACCACACTTAGCCTGGACTTTTTAAGTGGGTCAAATTCAAACACCTTAGTGAGATTGATAACTATCCTCAACCTTGACAGACAAAGGGATTTACTGCAACTGCAGCACTGCACAGCAAACTGTTCACAGACATCAGTCTTCATATTAAAAAACGAAATAGGAAAGATGCACTTTATTCTAAACACCACAAAAAAATGTTTTCACTATAAATGATGCTGAAATTAACAACTTCAGCATGCCAGTACTCAGCATTACAGATGTTTGTCATGAAATCACATCTTCAGTTAAGACTTTTAATTAAAGTTCCCATCCAGTTTTTGCTTTAATTATAAATAAATTCAATTTACTTTTAGAAAGAGTTAGCAAAAATGACATCGATTGATCTAGAGGTGAGTTTTGCACAATTTAAAATTAACATCAAAACACAGCAGTTGTCAAATCAGAAATTAAAATTTGTTAAACTTTCTACTAGAGCTACAAACATATTTTGTTTTATTATGCTTTCAACTTGGCTTTGAAAGATACAGGCTACAATAGAAAAGGAATCTATCTTTAGATTCTTATCTTGATTAGCATTTTGCACTACATTGCACATACTACTTTACATACTTGATTTAAACCTGAAGTTTAGTCCTTTACTCTAACTTTGAGTAGTTTTGAATGAAACAAAATGACATCTTTAAAAGTTCTCAGACTAAGAAGTGAAGATAAGCGACAATTTTTAGCTACTACAAAAAATATACACCTCTAATACTACATACACTATTAAGAATTAACATGGCTATAAGCCTCAACTAGCCAATATGAAATAAAATGTTAAATCTTTAAAATATAATTTAAAATGTTCACATACAGCAGTTGCAATTGAAAAAAATCAAACAACTCCTTGTTTAGGATACTGGTTTCTGAAGACCTCTGATTCCAAAGAAAAATAGCAGTTTGCCACTTAAAGATGCCACTCATCTTTATGACATGTTCCTACTGCATCTCTTATTTCACCCTTGTTTTAAAAACGCAGTCGTGCAACACAGCAGAATTTATGACAGCTCAAAGAGTTTGTGGGAGGACAACAGGTTTTATATAATTACTTAACTAGTAAATGTTGAGTTAATGCATAGGAAAATAAGAAGCTGAAGATCAGAGAAAGTTATGATTACCTGATGTCGGCGACTTGCACCGGTCTTCTGGCACCACTGTACCTTCATTAATATCACAAAGACCTGCTGAAACACAAAGCCAGAGTATTATAAACACAGTTGCTATTTTATTCTTACTTCCACTGCAGTTAGGAACTTCAATTTTTATTAGATACAAACAAGTCAGTTGTGACAGAATTTCCGTTACATATTATTTTTGACACTACCCAGAGTGACTGTAGAGTCACTAACAAAATACACTCTCACTAAATTTCACTGAAAACCACCATATATTCAGCAAGACAGACTTATCAGAAGAGTTAATTATTTACACACTATAGATATATATTAAGTACAAGCAAAATTTGTTTTGAAAAAATCAGTTATATTAAAAATTTAAATGCAAAAGAAAAATCAGATTAAAGAGGATCTTGAAGATTACAAACACATATGTGAAACTACAGGGCCTTTTTTCAAACTACTTTCCCGCTGATACTGTGATATGCTTTATATTTGTCAATTTGCATTGCCAAGTTCGTTTTCCAGAAAAACTCCTTATTGATGTCACTTACAGAATTCAGATCTTAGGGTGTTTACAAAGGCGTTCTTCCTAGAATGGAGGAATTTCAATAGAATTTTTACATCATCAAATTTGATCAATTGGAATAATTGCAGTATGTTAACATGTTAACTAATTCCTTTCATTCCAGTGAAGGAAATAAAGTCCAGTAGTCCACAATCGGATGCCAAAGATGTAAGTTGCCTGATAAGCCTCCAAGTATTATTCCATAGCACAGATTAGAAGTACACAAGGAATTTTTCTATTTTCCTTTTTGACACGAAATTGCTGTCCAGGCTGTCCACAATTAAGAAAAGTGAATTTTATTGATATTTTAAGGTTAGTAATGCGTCTTCAGGTTTATATCATGAAGTTTTCCTACAGAAATTTCATGACGTGATACTAAGGCAAGAAAGCATGGAATACTGAACAGTAATGGTTAAGAAATACTCGTTAAATTTAAAGGTTTTTGCATGCACACAAATGTTCTCAGTAGTCAAAAAGTTTGAGAAGTGTAATGGTAAGGGCTAAGACAACAAAGGCATCACATGGAAAGCCTGGCTATACAGCTGTACACTACACATTCACAAGTGCATCTGTGAAGAAATAGAAAACATAAGAACAGCTCTATTCTATCAAAGTTTTAAAATTTCCAAACACTAAACGAGAATTTAATAGTTTTAAGGGAAAAAGGTTCTCCTGAAATACCATATCAATCTGGTACACACTGAAAGTATGTTGCATTAACAGTTTCATTTATCCTAAATAGTCTTTTTTAATATTACTAAGAGCATGTACAGCTTAAACCTCAAAACTCAATCACTAGAATTGTTGTCAAATGACCTTAAGGCTTCGTTAACTCTACACTTGAGAGTCCTGGAACCAATTTCAATTTTAAAAAGTCAAGCAAAATTCCAGGTGAAAGCTATGTCTTTCCACTACACAGGAGAAAGAAAAAAGCAATTTATTTTGTTATTTATCTGTCAGTAAATCGATGAATACTATGGGATAATCATGGTACATATTCTCTAAATATGATGTGACCTCTGAAAGCACCAAAGTTTTAAATAGGCATGGGAATCTAAATGTCTTGAACTAGACAGGATTATATAAAAAGATTTTTCAAAAATCCTGATGTTGCTCTCACAACAAGCAATACAAATTTTAGATAGTAACAGTGCTGGGAGGATAAACCTGTACTGTGCTCTTAGAAGTAGTTGCTCCTTCAGGAGCCAAACCAAACAAATCCAAACACACAGTTTAGGAACTCAATTTTCTCTTTTCTGTAAATATCAATTCTTTACCTTCAAAGGAAGAGTTTAACTACTTGCACTGTTTCTCTTATGAAAACTCATGAATTGACAGGAATAGTCTTTAGCCAAGAATGAAGTTATACACATGCATACTTGATTTCTTTGTAAGAAGTCTTGAGGCTATAATTTGATTAATATACATCTTAATGAACAGTAAGTGTAAGCGTGCATTATGGTAATCATTATGGCACGTAAACCTTGGAAATCTAATCATAGCCATCTAGAAAAGGAACAGGAAGAGATGAAAAGTAATTTTACCTATGACTATATTAGTAATTAAACTAAGCAGAGAATAACAAGAATGATCTGAGTTAAGCTGTGAACTAGGAGGGTCTGTCTATGACCAACAAGAAGAAACTGGCATGACAGTCTCTATTGCTGTTCATCTTAAATCCCCAGGTACCCTGATAGAACCTCTGGCAGCAACACAGCTCTTCTGGAAAAGTTCTCTGGTTTCGGGCTTACAGTACACATGCAAATTGCTATAAATTACCAAAGCAAATTGATCCAAGAGTTTCCATTTTAGAACTGCAAAGACTGTAACTTCCTATGACATCAAGGTATATACAAGTGACTTTCTAATAAGCTTTTAGTTTATTTATCTCTCTGAACTCCAGAAGCAAGAAATTTGAAAACCCTCCAAATTGGAAAAAAAAATAAAATAAAATGTCAAAGACATAAACATTAGCATGCTGCATTAAAAACCTCCCTGTCAGTTTTTTGCATAGGTTTTAGACAGACATACCTGAAGAACCTACAACTGGACTGGAAATCGGTCTAATTAAAAATTACAACTAAAACTAGATTGATATGAAGATGTAAAAGTTAGAACTAAAAACAATTAAGCTGAAAAACAGAGTCAAAAAGCTCCCCAAACCCAATAATCAAACTTTCTGATACAGTTCTCACCTTGGCTGATGTCAGTTACAGCTCATGTTGGTCTTGTGACATTTAGGTTAAAATTCAAATAGGCCATGAAAGGGGATAGGGGAAACAGCATGACCGAGCAACCCCAGAAGAGTTCTAGGTATGTATTTTCTTCCAGTTTGCCTCAATTCCAGTTCTGAATATCTCGTAGCTTACATTCAAAAGAAGGCTTTTTGATGTATAATAAAAATTATGAAAAGTCACATGCATGCAAGAACTGCTTCAATTTTGTCAGAAACCTAAAATGTCTCTGGTAGAACTAAGAAATGCTAACTTATAGAGTTGTTTTATACTGGACTAATCAAAAAGTCACATAAAATCTTGCAATCCTCCGCAACAGTTATTTGCAAAAGAGTTAAAATTGGTGTCCTATATGAATTTAAGTAACTAAGAAGGAAAAATAACAGCTGTCTAAGTTTTAGTGTTTCATCATGAAGTTATAACTTGTCTCATCATTTGGTATCAGTATTGACTTGATGACTCCTGTCATATTTAGCAAACAGTACAAGCAAAGGTCTTGGTGTAAGCCCCCACTGTGTATAGAATATACAGAATTTTCATCACACTGTAAAGATTTTACTTACACATTTCACGTCTTTTGGCACGTGGCCAAAGCTGATTTCCACCCCTCCCTTACTATTACAGTCTGAAGGCAAAAGTTGATTTTGTTTTTAAGCTTGACAAGCACCTGATGACACTGTCTAGCAGGCCTTAACAAAACACATATACTGCATGCTTCACAAACTATAAATTTCCACCCAAAACATGTGAGTAGTATACCTGGTATGAATCACTGATAAATTCCAAAACACGATCCCAACTGGGAGCTTGTATCTGTAGAGCTAGCCTGAAATGACAGTTTACAGTCTAGCTAGTGTAGAGAGCCTTGTCTCTAATTAGATGCTGCTTTAAGACGGGAATCTGAATTTCTTTTCTGAGTAGAAAAAATAAGATGACAGAAACATACATCATATTCTTGCAACATAAGCGAAGGGAAAAATCTTGCATTTCCATTCATATTTTAGAAGATACGTAACTCTTACTATATGAATTTCTTTAAAAAACACCTTTGTAAATTTTCAATTGGTTGATGAAGGACATGCCATTTACTAAATTGTAAATATGTTAGCAGATATTGATGATCTACTGAACTGACATTCTATGCTGAAACATACAGAATATTGGGGTTCTTAATGAGAAAGGACCAATCCTTCCTCCATTTTTTGGAAGTGGTTGAGTAATAGAGAATAATGTTTTCCTACTCCCCTCCCTGCCCTCATACGGAAACAATTTTTCAGTTCAGCCAATTTTGTGATACTATGTACAATATATTCTGCTCTGTTGCATGCTATCTGAATGTGAATTTAATATAACTAATTAAGAACTTGTCTGAATGCATATATATAGGCTAGTATGATTTTTTTTTCTTAAATACAGTTAAATACAGGAACTTTCTAAAACTACTACGTGACATTACTTACCTAAGCACTTTTTCTCAAAGAATTTAGATATTAAGTACTAATACTCCCTGAAGATAATTAGAGTTGCAAAAGTGTGAAAATGTCTTATTCACAGAAAAATTAATTTTGAAATATTAAAATATAAATGTTTTCAAGATAAAAAAATACAGTGAAGGCATATCTTTCAAAATAAAACCAAGGAATCATAAGTTCCTTGCATTTTTGAAAATGCAGATACTAATGTCCAAGAAAGGGAGAATGCAAAATCCAAAAGTGTTCTGACTATCTCATACAGTTCCAATCCCATAAATATATCAAAGAGTAGTGCTTAAATATTAATACTTATTATTTGTGGAAAATTACACAGCAATAATACATTATTATTTAAATTATTGAAGTCTGGGCAACACATACATTGAAAGAACTACAAATAATGAGAAATTTTAAATGAAGGAGAAATTATTTTCAGATTTTAAAATGAATGTAGCTCCAGCTAACCAAGATATTGTCAGGATGGTAAACAGAAAGAGAACTACATGATTAAGAAATTAACTCTTTTGTACAAAACTTTTTTAACCTATTCCTAAATAAAACAGTCCAACAGAATTCAGCTTTATAATATTTGGTTTCAAAAACTAGTTTTGGGATTTCTACTCATCTTTTGCTCTTCTTCAAAACAATAATCAATCAGTGCCAGATTCTGTTTTTCAGTTCTGTATCATCTTAAGGTGAAGGCATTTCTTTTATGCCTAGTTCCCTTTCTGCCTTGGCAGCAGAGCATTGAAGACTATAGAGAAAGCAGGTTTCTGCTATTAAGACTACTCTCTGAGATGTATTTCTTTTTTCTTGTTCAGGGAAAAAATGGCAGAACTATGAATTGGATGACAGTATCAAGTGTTTGGGTTTTTTATTTGTTTTTCTTTTGGTTTTTCGTTTGTTTTTTAAACTCCAGCTCTGTCTTCCTGTAGCTTAGTTTTATTCTACTCCATCAAAAAATGGGGTGAGATTACCTACCTCTGCCAAGGGCTGGAAAAAACTGACATCCTATGGAAAGGAACAGCGTTATGCTTTAAAAAAATAAGCTTTACATTCTCCAATTTCTTAGATGATGTAATTGATGTTGTAAGTCAGAGAATCTCTTAGGTAAATCATAGTTCTGATGGGCTACCTCCCTTACATAGACACCTGAACTTCAAAACTGCTTGGAAGGTTCTGTACAGTATTGTGCAACACACAAACACCTCCACTCTTAATCCTTATAAAAAACATCTTTGTAGAAGTAAATTTTCTTTTGTAGTAGAAAAATCACTGTTTATCACAATGTTTATTATTATCACTACTACTAATAGTCTAACTAGAGTTATGAAACTTTTTCTGCCAGAAAGGGAACCAAACAAGGGAAGCTTATACTAAAAGAACACTAAATTCCTAAGATCTTAGGTCTGTAAACATCAGTAACTTTAAAGGTAGAATCTCCTTTTGATTTTGATATTTATTTCTTTAAAAATACAAAATACAGAGACTATTATGGTTGCCTTTTTCTTCAAGTTTCTTTTAAAGATATCATGAACAAGAAATACAATAGATGTGTGATGGATTAAAATCAGTTTCCAGAAGGAAAACAATTACTTAAAATGGACTAAGAAAAATACTTATGGTGAGTGAACAAATAAAAAAAATCAAATTCAGATGTTCAAAAATATTTGAATGCCATGAGATGACTTACTTATATAAGAGGTGCGAAGCTTTTTCACAGACTCTGAATATAAGTTAGAAAGGCCGCACATGCAAGAAGCCACAGTCAGCATACCTTTATGAAGCAATGAGAAAAGGAAAGACGGAGACACTAACAGTACATTTGAGACAGAAAAGCCAGCCAAATAACTTGTATAACCAGGTTTTTAAAATGCTTTTGCCATGCAGATCGTTAGTATTAAAAGTTAAGATGAAAGAAATATGAATTCATGTAACAGCTTCATGAACAAAAAGGACTTTAATTGTGAATGTCTTAGAGACAGTTGAAACAGTTATGTGGATCCAATACATTAAAATAACGAATGCTAAGAAAACAAAGGCAAGTTATGTTTAGCACTCCAAAAGGCAGTTTATAATCTAAGTGCGTGAAGCAGAATTTAAGCCCTTTACTCCCAAGACAAGTTAACACAGTTAACTAGTAATTTCTTTTTCTCAAAATAATTTGTTTTTTCATTTCATAGAAGAAAATATTTTTTCTGACAGGACACAAACTGTATACATTCTGTTCTATATTAATGATTTTTAGATAAGTTTCCTGAGCTGAAATAAGCTGACTAGTGTTAACTGCATCTTTTTCAAACCAACATTTGCTGAAATAACATCCTAGACATTTCCAGTTGAATATCATATAATCTGAAGAATTTAACAGGACTTTATTCTGGATCTCTCAAAGAAATCAACACTAGTGCATGAAGAAGGGTTTTTAGAACAGTTGATTTCCCATCAAAAAAAGAATCATTTGGGGCAGCAATGACACTGTTTATCGTTCTGTCTTCAGCTGTTTTCCTAAAATAAATTAGGAGTATCCATGACATATCAGGGAGAAGAAAATTTAAAAATACTAAATTTTCCTTTAGGTTTCAAAAAACTTGGCATTTTGACTGAAAAGTCACTTTCCTGCTCAGCTGAAAAAGAACACTCTTCAGCATATTTTTAAATCGAAGTACTTTTTTTTTTCTCAAAGATTTATTTATTTTATGCGTTTATATGTGGAAGTTTATTTGGCTTCCTCTCAAGCATAACATAACAGCATAAACAACAAAACATGCTTTAGCTTATCAGGGACATTCCTATTCAAAGTTTAAAACGGGAAGTCAAAGCTCCCAGGAAATGCACTGGTTATTGGCAAACGTTAATGGGTTTATACAAGCATATGAAACGGGTACTAGCTTTATCAGAAATATTGGGTACTTCCTCATGCTGTGTTATTATGTTAAATTCTTATAAACTGCATAAATCCACTGTATATACTTATATCTACTTACACATAGTATGTTCCAGTTTATGTTTTCTTAAAACAAACATTACATTGAAAAAATAAGTAATGATATCAAGCATCACTAGATTCCACTCAGCAACAATTTTTAAGGAAACATGATTTAACAAACCTGAAATAGTGCTATTAGGAACAGATCAAGGAGAAAGAATGTAACTGCAGTATAGAAAAGTATATTTGTAAGACTAGATGACCAGCTGTGCCTTTCTTCTGAGCTTAAAACATGTTTTGGGTTGCTCACCTCCAGACGGTTGCCGAGTTTTTCGGGGAGATCGTGGCTCCCTGCGATAAGGATCATTGGAGCCATACAGTTCAATAGTGCCTAGATTCAAGAGCACTGTCTTCTGGAGGTAATCAACCATGGCAATACCATTACAGTTTCCAAAAACTACTCTGGAAAAAGACAAGTGGAAGGAAAGACAGTGCTAATTAAATGTTGGTAAATTTTCACATAAAGATTTTTTACTGTTCAGCATTTGAAGACTTCCTACTTTTTAAGAATTATCCTAGATCGAATATATCTATAAATTACTATTTTAGAGTGCAGTATTGCTTAAGTGTTCTCTTGTAAAAACATGGCACTGAGTAGAACAGATCACTGTCATTGTACTTGCCAACCTATCTGACAGAGCCTTAAATGACACTTATTCTCAGCTGTACAGTGGTAGCTGAGAAAGAGTGATGATGATTTGTTTCTGCTGCTAGCATAATCAGGATCTGCCATGACCCAATAGGAATTATCTCCTAAGCACAAGAGGCTGATTACCTCTCTGTCTTGCCATGCAGCTCATGTGAACACACATAGAGACTTAGTTTTAATGGATAATTTTAAACCCCTTTGACAGGATAATGAAAAAACTGCGTAGAATATACTTACAGGCCATATGCTGAGTTGACTGCTAAGCTGGTTATCTGTTGAGGAGGTTCTCCACTCACCCACACTAGCTGGATAACTAGCTCAGTTTGGTAGCCTGGAGACTGCTTGAGAGGAGAATTTTTAACTCTGCAAAATAAACAATTTTTAACTTAGGGGCTCAGAGTTCATTAATTTCTACACCACACTGGATTTCAAAAAGTCGGGAAATTGTAAAAAATATGATCAAAATCACATAAAAGCAATCAGAAGAAAAATCCACATTGAAATTGTTAATTCATGTTTTTAGGGGCCTCTTTGATTCACTACCTAATTGAAAACTAATAGAACGGTGATCACAAATACTTCATTTTTCCCATCTTCAGAGCAAGGCATAACATTTTCTTTAGAAATACATCACTGCAACTTGGCAAAATCAATACAATTGAAAATCCTCACTCAGATAAAGTAACCGCATCAGAATTAGTTATTTTCTAGATAGACACACTGAAAGAATTAAAATCCAAGCTGGGACCTTGAAACTTCAGAAAACAGAAAGTACATACTTAACTTTATATCTGTAAGATATATACATTCTGCTAGAAAAAGTGATGGTCAAGAGGTCTCATAATGCACTCTTGTAGAAGAGTAGAAAAAGATTGCCTTCTTTTAATTTTCATTTCTCAAATGAGTAAAAGCTCACACAAAGAAGCGTATAGAAAAATTCCCAATTTAAAAAGACCAAAAAAGTGGTCAAAGACCTATATTGCAAGCACCATGAGGCATCATGCAAAGTGAAGATCCTTGACAATGGGACATTTATTTAATTCTGTTTTCAAAATATCAAGTAGTTCTCTTAGAGAGTTTTCAAAAAAGATGTATATTTATAAGCCTAAAGAGTTACCACTCAGCTAGCTATTTGTAAGAATTTTCACCACTTTTGATTTGGCTCTAAAACCTAAGGCTCTGGAAAACCAACAGATGAAATGTATTCAGCCACAGAACATCAGGTTTCCTATTCATTTCAATGGACAATGAGACACAGCGATTAAATTGCTGCTATTAAAAAATGTTTGCTCTAAAGAGTGATCACCTATAACTATACTAACATCTGTGCCAAATTTTCCTAAATCATAACATAAGGATTTTCAAATTTTTACCAAATCAGCTTATGAAGTTTAAAGAAATTGAGATAGCAATATTCGCTTCTTAAAACAGAGCTCAAATTTCATATATTTGGAAAATGTTGCTCTATAAAATAAAACATTCTCACCAGCAATTACATATAATTAATAATATCAAAGTACATATATTCTAATGACATATTTTCATAAAGTCTCATACTCAATGACAGTGTAACAGAATATACTTACTTTAAACACGGGACATTATCACGAAGTCCATCAGATGAACTGCTACTAGTAGATGGGTGAGACTGGGGAACAATGGATTGAGGATTGGAACCTGCGCCTGGAGTTGATGAAGGTGGCACCTGCTCACCATCTGGAGTTTCAATATCATTTATTTCATATAGCAGACGTACTTCCAGCATCTGTGAATTAAAATTAAAAAAAAAAATCAGTAAAGTCTGCCTTTCAAAAAAACTGGATACAAAATAAATGAAGTGCAACAGAAGACTGTAGTGATAAGTGACATCCAGGTCTTTTTCATCTTTTAAAAGACAACACTAGGTTAATAAACAGTACAACCTAAATACCTATGTAGTCTTTAGAAATAGAGTCTTAGTAACTACTACAGACTGAATATCTGAAGATCACTGAAACTTGAAAGTCTGATATATTTCCCAGTTTTTAAAAGTTTGCATCTTAATATTGAAAGAAATTAAATACTGGATAGAAAACCCATTTAATTATCATTCTGCTGACATACATTCTCAGTTATGAAGATGACTTGGTTTATGTAATTCTGGAATAGTAAAACTGAGAGCTAAAGGCACATAGACAGCTACCCTTTATACTGACGCAACACTGTACACATGGGACTTGGTTCAATATTGGATGTGTTCAACTAGCTCATACATTTTAAAGAACTGCAAGTTCATCATGACTTCAGATTTTCTTCTGCTGGATCAGTAACAATATTAGTATTAATTGCAGTGCAATGAAAAGAAATTTTTCCACTTTTATTCTCATCGTCTGCAAAGTAGAACTTAATTCATGGACTGAAACAAAGAATATATAGTATTTTTAAAACTTTCCTAGTACTGAAGAATAATTTGCTAGGGACTGATTCAGAAAAATTGTTTAGAAAAAACTATTTCCTCAGAAGGGAATGTACCTGTACACAAGTAAACACCCCATGAAGGGTGAAGAAAAAAAACCCCTGTGCCTCAGGTCTTTAAACTAAGACTTATTCAAAGGGAGCAGAATAGGAAGGGGACAGGGTTTATGTTGTGTGTGTGTGTGTGTGGGTGTGTGTTGCGGGCAGGAGGTGGGAGGAAAAACCAACTACATTACAATTAACATTTTACTTATAACATACAATATTTTATAATTAAATATGAGCTTCTAGCCCATACATTCAAATACATAAACTTGTATGTGTGTGTTTGATTTAACAAAGGCCTTCTCAAACTCTTGTAATAGAATCATTGTATCTTATATAGAATAAAATAGCAACACACCAAAGTCCTTAACAGATTCTGGGGAATGTTTGGCTCACTTGTACTCTTCTAGCTCTGCACACTGCAGTTTTGACAGGACAGACGATAATTATTAGAAATCAAGGAAAAAGGAATCTACTCCCTAAAAGCTTTGAAATTCTTCAACTCCACATCTCATTCACTGAAAACCACTATCTTGGTGTGCAATATTTAATTACAAAATTCAACAAAAGTAGTAATTTTTCCTCCAAAAAACCACATCTCTTCATTTTGAGACAACTGTTTTTGTCCATTTCACTAATAAAATAAAAGATAACAAAGCAGTAAATTGCTAGAACAGTCTTCTTATAGGTAAATCCTACAAAATTCAAAAATGGTCATAACTAATTACCGGAATGACTTCTGTTGTCACTTCCTGCTTGCTGAACCTGTAAATAATGACATGTGCAGAAACTCCAGCTATGCACAGCATTCTACTTTCTGGACACCACGAGATGATCTGAATAGCATATGGATCTTCATCTACTATATCTGTGTTTGGCCTGTCATCTTTATTCCGTGATTTTTCAAATACTTTGGCTGTTTTTAACTTATAGAGTACTTGCAGCGTTACTAGGAACAAAGTAAAAGAGAAAAATTAGTTTTGATCAGAACAGATTTTTTTTCTTCTCAATTTTTAATTTATTAACTTGTCTTCATAGAGAAAGATATTATGTTCAGCAAAAGAGGGCAGAGTAGAAGCAATGAATATCTGTGTTGCCTCTGCCCATGCAGTGCACCACTTGATCAATATAGTATCAGTTAGTATAAAAGAAATACCCCAACACTTATCCTGAGAGATATATACTAAGCTACAGTTATAAACTAAGACTTCACAGCTTCTCAAGGCTTTACTGTACCTCAGGATCTCGTTATAACATCATCTTGTTACATATGCCATATCTACAACTTAGTCGTGTCTATGGTAGAGGAAGTAAAGCTCCTTTTCTTTATTTCCACAGTATTTCAAATCCATGGCCTCTCACCTGTGCTCTCATACGTAACAGCCCCGATTCCTCCAATTTACATATTATTTTGTCTGATCATTCAAAAGTGCTGCCCTCTGATCAGTCCACTTTTTGTTGATAACAGGTTTCCTAGAACTCTTCTAGTGATGCCTTTCCACAGTTTTAAATAGTGAGTTACTCCATGTTGGTTTTACAGACATACCCACTTCCTTATAGCAGTGATTATTTTTTTCTATGCAACACAGACTGCAATTCATGAGATGTCCAATTTTTTTCCCCAGAAACTAAGTACTAAGTGTACATCATTCATACTATAGTCAAGTAAATTGTCTTTGATATAGCTACCTCTTGAATAGTATCCTTCTCAACTGTAATTTTAATTCTGTATTAAGTTTTCTTTCAAATACCTTCATGCTGTTTTCAAACTTCACAGGCATATCCTTTAGTCAATGGCCCAAATCACTGCTATAAATACTAATCAGAACATTAGGAAAACTTAAATTATAGCATCCTTTCTCCTCTTCCATATTTCAGTGGTTTTACTTGAATCACATTTCCCTAGTTCACTTGTAAGACTGTCCTATTAGAGAGATTTAAAATCAATAGAGGATACTCGCTTAACAGGTTTATGTATCTGTTTTAGAAAGAAACTAAGTGTCTTTAAGAGAATCTCCTTTGACAATTCTATGCTGAATAGATCTTTTAAGCACACAGAATCGCTTGGTTCTGGCTAACCTCCTTCTCCTCTCTCTCCCAGGTTCTACTCCCACCCCAAACTGAAATTAAAGATCTATTACACTCCAAATAGTCCTCCTCCCAGTTTTTTAACATATACATTGCATCTGTTCCCTCCCACAACCACACACGCCTTAGCATTTTGGAATCTCATCAGTTTTCCACAGGTTTTCAAAGACAATTAATGATGATTCCAAGATCGCTTTAAACAACTTTTAAGTACCAAGAGTAAGGTTAGTCAGAACTAGATTAACTAAAACATCTAACTCTATGCAGTCATTTCTACTTTGAATTCTTACTGCATTTCTCACTGTGAGCTGTGTAGGCCATCAGATGCAATTGACCCTTTCACTGAAGATGAGAAATGTAAAATAGTATCAGACTCTTCAGGCCTGTTCAGTGTTCCAAAGAAAAGTTTCTTTATTTTACTCTTCTCCTGCCTTTCTTCACAAATGCATAAATCATTTTAGTAGCACAAATTTCTACTGGTTCCAATTTTCATTTCTAGATACTGTAATTTATGGAGAGCTGATGTCTTGAACACATGCCTCTCTCCTGTCCAAAAAGACAGAAATAACTTACTGAAAATCAATTGTATTAAAAAGGAATGCATTTCCCTGTCATGCATCTTCATGCTCAAAAATAAAGTTTAAGGCGCTTCTAAAAAATTTTAGAATTCTTCTATATTAACTGGTCCTTGGACTATCAATGCATTTACTCTGAGGTGGTAAGAAACAGTGAAGAACCTAAGAAATAACGTCAATTATACTTAATTTTAAATAAAAATTTTCTGTGAAGTTACTGACTCTACAGAAGGCAAGAAATAATGACAATGACTAGTTTGCAATTACATTCCAATAAAGAAATCGGTTTAGAAAACTCCTACTGCACAGGAAAAAAAACTCTACTGAAAACACTTACTTGCTGAGGCATCCCAAAACTTGATTGACCCATCAGCATGCCTGTGAAATATTAAAAAATTAATAAGACGGTAAAATGGTTAGTTGGAGTGCTAGACCTCTTTGTTACTGATTGGAAAGTATACTTTTAACATTCTATTTTTATTAGTACTCTTAGTGACACTTTATTTTCACAATTTATTGGAAGCTGACATTTTACCAACATGTGCTCCAATGACTTTGGATGGAAGGGATTAGAAAAACATCTGGAGGCTAACTCCCTGATGACTCCACTGTACTAATTTACCATTTTAAATACTGAGGCATACCTTACCATGTGCTGCTTATTAAAATATGCCCTATATTAGGAGCAACACTTGTAAAGAAGACACCTAAAGATACAGTATCCCACTGTAAATGAGTCACCAAATTTGTTTATTTAGCCTTGAAATGAAGAATCAGATGACTATATTTTTTCAGGACTGTCTCTCAAACTCTCTCCAAGGTGTAGTATAAAGTCACAGTAATCCTCATTCAGGCTAATGGGTTGTTCTAAAAAAACTTCATTAGTGCTCTTAATTTCAGTGATGCACTGCACAGTAATAAATTAAATGTTGTTTATTAAATTGTTCCTTACAGTACTATTAGAAGGATCAGGCTCAAAAGTATTTGACTGTCCTTTCTGAAATAAAAAATTGGCTTCCCTTTAAGAACTGAACTCAATAATTACTTAGTGGACTTCCTGTGCTTTAAAACAATACTCAATATTTTCCAAGAATTATAGAATATATGATAAGTTTGATCCAGGATACTTAGATAAGAAACACACATAATCACAATACCGCATCATAATAATAATCTCTGAAAACACTCACTACCTTCCCTTCCACATTCTGCCCCTTACTTTCTCAGTAATGCCTCAAGGACATTATGCCAAGGACTTGTTTGGTGAACTAATTTCATAAACATTCAAACCACTCATAAAAAACAATGTTCTAAAAGATGAATAAAACAGTCTCAATTTTACTTAATCAGCTAAGAAAATTATTAGTACACTATGGGATCACTTACCCTGTAATAATTATCTCTGGATAGCTCTGAGTGATCAAACCCCAGTTGCCTCCACTGATAGGCCATTCCTGGAAGATTAACAAAAACACTCAGGAAGAAAATATCACATAGCGCAAAGTTAAGCCATTGAAATTACTGCAGATACTGCAGAATCCAGTATTTCACATGACTTCAAAAAATTAGACATATCCACTGCAGGGGGTGAGGGTAAACAAACAAACAAACAAACAAAAAAAATCAACAAGGGCTATAAACACTACCCCTGTTCCAGGAATTCCTTTAGCTTCCAGTGATATGGCAATTGATGGGAGCACATCAGGAAAACATGATTATAAGGCTTGACACATGACAGGATGAGTCAGATGGAGCTCTGGTCTTAGTATGGCCAATCGTTATTTAGACCTGCTGATTTTCAGTATTTTAAACCACACATGTATGTAGTAGATGTTGTACCTTCTTACTGTAACCTTGACGTTTCTGACGAGCACCAACTGAATAGAGTGCAGGTATGAGGTCCACAGGACAATCAGCAAAATATTCACAACAGGTAACTGGAGATTCATGTATAGTCAAAGGATAGGGATTCTCAAATATAGGATACCTTCAATGGAAGAAAGGGGAAGACTGTTAATCTAGGAAAAACCTTTTTTTAAAATGCAGAACACAAGTACTGAAGACTAGGCTGGCATTCTTTTTGTACAGAAAAAAAATAAATGCATATCAAATTAGATTATGAACAAATATGCAACTTTACTGCTCATCTAATACACTATAAAGATAGATGGAATTGGAAGTTTGTACAGTTTATAGAGTATTTCTAGAACACCACTATTCCCTATAGCTTTATATTTTTAAAAGCTTACTAATTTAGGCCTGTGGAAAAAATTAAGTTACCAAGTCCTAATTGTAGTAATGTGGAGATATGAATTTATTTGTAAATCTTCAGTCTATTCTCCTGTGGCAAAAGACAGGAGGAGTCCTGTCTCACTTTGTATTAGTATACCATTGTGAGACAGAAAGTTGTCCAGCGCTTCTCAAAGTCTACTTGCAACTCCAAGATCACTTTCTGAAAGCTACAGATAGCAACATGCAGTTACCAATTAGAAGAATAGAAACACTTATGCTTCCCCCCACCATCTCCATCAGAAAAGTGACAGAGCCTTTATGAGGAAAAAAGTCAATAATACTAATAGAGGTAAATGTATCTGTTTTCAAAGAACATTTATCTCGAGAGAAATGCATGCTATGTGTATGTTTTCTCCCCCTTTTTTGAGAGGTGAAAAGAGACACAGCTTCTCAAGCCATCTAAAGGAAAAATTGGCAAGAACAGATGAAAACTTACCGCATACCAAGAATTTTATACATAGCTATCTGGAAAGCTTACAACAATCTTTTAAAACTGAATGAAGACTAGGCTTCACTTTAACAAAATATGACAAATCCGTATTTGGATTTGGTAAAAGGAAGCCTGTAGATTTATTTTGGCATTAATTTTTTTGCCTTTTTAGGTGTCAAACAATTAATACTTTGCAAGTCAATCATAACAAAGACCATTATAAGTCTTCTAAAAGCACAACTGCTAAAGATTTTTTTAGCATGAAATAGAATAAGCCTTACCATAATTTCAAATTTCAGGCATTGCGAATTAAATATGAATTTTGGAAGCTTAATGCTATTGGTATATCAGAAACAAGTTCTGGATACAGCATATGGCTGTAACACTGGGAAAAGCTAAATGAGATTGCTCAGTACCTGGAGAGATATTAGGATAAAACCTGATCTTCTTCTGAATTCCATAGAGTCTTTATTATCTAAGGTATCACCTTAGATAACACACTTGACTTTAAGGATAAATATTTACAGGGTTTAGTTTTGCCCTACAAGGATATTCTTCATAAGGATTTTTTTTCATTGACCATTGGAGATTTTTAATCAGGAACACTACCAACATCTTATTGAGCCCCTCTGCTCCTAATCCCTTAATGGTTAGTTGTTGCTGCCTATACTAATTTTAAAACCCTTCTTAAAATTTTTGTAGTATCCTGAACTTTTAATCACCACCTATTAAGACTGTATGGACTGTCAACAGACAAAGAAACAAGAGACTCAAAATGTGCTAGGCAAGTATTATTTGTGAAAAGTGTAATAGGATACTACTCTTAAGCAACTTCTTACCACAGCTGTAAACTAGGGAGTAGATGTTATCATTCAAATTTTATGTATATGATAGTTATTGCATCAGTATTGAGTTTCTTTAAGCAATACTGATAGCAATTTATTTGGCAATAATATCTGCAGATATCTAAGTGATGACAACAGCCAAAATTACCTGGCTTATCTGATCAGTTCTTCTCTCTGCTCCCTTCCCCAAAACTGCAAGCTCCCCCTCACAGCACTAAGGAACCAACTTCAAAATAAACTGTGGTACTTAAAAAGCACCAGTGATCTATGAGTAATTTCTGTTAGTCAATCAAGCCTGGAAAAAGTCACATGATATTCTACTCATCTACTACATATTAAGCCGTGAAAAGCTGATATATTAAAATTCTCAGTTCAGTTGATGAAATTTTATATTTAATATTCAAAATTTTATGCTCTGGACAGGGAGTTATTATGCTAGATTAAAACTATAGAGCAGAATAACAGGCTGATCACCACAGCCAACCATTACTACACAAGATTCTTACCCATTTTGTGCAAGGTCAATCAGTACTAAGTCCTTTTCTAGGAGAACAACTACAGCATATGGTTCCTGAAAGTCTGAAAACAAAAGAAGAAAAAGTTACTTACTGGTAAATGGAGCTCATGCATGTATAGCCTCAAGAATGTAATCAGTCTTTGCACTATAGCAGTTAAAATTAGAAAAAGCCACTTAGATGACTACAGTTTTTGAAGATATTTTATACACTCACCCTCCTGAATACTCCAAGTTAATTGCTCTTCCATTAATTCAATATTTTCAACAGTTCAAATAACAGAAAAAGGAACATGCAGAATAACTTGTATAAGCAGGTTATATGATAGAGCCAAATTTCTCAACAATAACATCCTCCCACCCCCAAACTCTTTGCCTCATATTCAGTGGGGTTTAAGTTTTAAGCACTTACAAAATGGATTAAAAGACAGCTGACTTGACAGTAAAATAAGAAACTTTAAGCAGTCGGTGAAGTGCATATTCCCCTCTTTAAGGTAGACCTCAAATTTCAAGCTAAACAGTTTTATATACTCTGATAGAAGCTGACAGCTAAAAACACTGTAGTCATCAGCAATATAATGCTATTCATCTGGGACAACTAGCTAAACTACGATAAAAAAATCACCTGCTGCAGAAAAGAGATTATAGGTTAGTGATGAACTTCATGTAAGTATTGGAATGAACAAAGTCACTAAAAGTAAAAATAATACACAAATGTTCTTCACGATTTAGCATTGAGTACATACTATCTTTCCACCCAAATATGTACTGGTGAACACATTGGCTGCAGTAACTACAGCTTTAAGTTGTAATGCTACTTTTTATCTGCACATGCTTTTGGGATTAAAAAGAAAAAAAAATATGTACTGCATAACTTGCTTCCTTCTAGTAGCAAAACAGGCTTTATAATAAACTATGCTACTAAGATGCTTTGGGAAGTAAACCATACTTCAGATAAATAGGGATAACAGATGTTGCTTCTGAAGTCCAGTCCCCAGAAACAAAACAGAAAGGAAATAGTCAAGAATATTCTCATGGGATAAAACTCCAGAGGCAGGAAATCAAGGTACTGAGAAAAATCTTGAGCCTACCATTAGGATATGGTGTTTCACAGAGGGTTAGGAAATCAACAATAGAATAATCCATTTCTAGCACAGCAGTACTTTTTCCATGCATAACTGTTAAGCAGGGTCTTCTTCCTACAGTGTCATATGACAAGCCTCCTGAGAGAATGATGAAAGGCTCCCTGGAATAAAGCAGAGGCATTTAGGATCAAGCCAAGATAATATACTAAAAGATATCATTGTAAGGTTGCAAAACCTGCCCAAAGTTCAATGAGATATCATTAAGCAGAGATAGAGTAAAAATAATGCAAACCAGTTCTCCATGCAATATACAGCTTGAGTGTGAGTTTCAAAACTTAAGTTATAGTCTTCAAACTCTTGTTTTAAGTCAGACATCTTCTCCAAACCTTTCATTCCATATTGCTTATTACCAATCTTTGCAACTGCTTGGCAAAATGAGATTTTTTAAAACTTTGTACAACTTTAGAATTGCTTTTCTTCTACTGAACTGCAGTCAGATTTGCCAACAGTCCCATTCATCCATAATATAAAACAGTCTAGCAGAATCAGGAAGAAATAGAGTAATATGACTGCCTTGGAGAAGCTTGATAAGTTTCAAAGACCTAACATCTTTTAAGTAGTACCACACATTTACTCAAGACATTTTAGCCATTTCCCCCCCTACTACCATGCACAAAATTCAGGAAACTACTATGTCACAGACTACTCCTACTGCATAATCAAATAGCTGAGTAGAGAGCAAAAATATTTCTTCTAGTTTTGAGAACAGATTAGATGCTTCCCTTGAAAGATTTTTAAAAAGCCTTTAGAGGAACATATTTTTAAATACACCCATATTTTTCAAATATGCACATAACATATAATTTATTATTTCATTTACTGAAAAACAAGATGAAGTAAATCTATTCATTTTACCATATATTTTTTTATTTCCTGATTATCGTCACTCATTTTAATACTTCTTATGTTTGAAATAGGACATAATATCTTTTAAAGAGTAGTGTTTATAAGTATATAGGTCAAGAAATAAATGTCACCCATTACTGACTATTGCCTCAAATTCCACATTATATTTCTGAAGGAAAAATAGGCACTTTGAGTGCCTAACAATTATCTCTGATCTACTTTTATGCTCACTTTACGTAGAAATCCTACCCTTCATTTGTGTCTTTCTTAGAAGCAGCTAGTATGTCAGTATCTGGAGAAAATTTCTAGTAAAAAAGCCATCCTGATACATTGTAAAAAGAGGCTGAAGAGATATAACTTTTTTTTATCCTTTCCTATAACACCATCTTTCCCATACTGTCTAAATGGCTTTCACTAGTTAGCATTTGAAACACTAATGTGAGACTAGATACATCTTTATTCTTGAAATAAAGATGTCTATAAAGCGTCTGGTTTATGCACATGTTGGCCTTCATGAATTTAAGGCTTGGCTGAAATGTGCTCTGTGTTTGTAGTATTGAAGGCAAAGCAGACTGAGACAAGCTTCCAGCTTCTACAATTACTTCACAATCTGCCTGATCCTCCAGAAAGACCTGTGACTGAAGATTTGATAAGATCAAAGAGTACTGCTGGCTGAGGAAGAGACCTGAATGGAATGCCATACATTGGACCATAGATCCACTGAGTTAAATATCCTGCCTCCAACAGTAGTACAAAGTGTATTTCTAGAAAAGGATTAAGTTTTTTCCAAGTTTTCATTCAATCTCAGTTCTTCATATTGAAATTTCACACAATCTTTTATGGTCAGGCCCATGAAATAATTTGAAGAAAGTTACAAACTTGAATTTAACCTGATATTTCTCAGGATGTCAGTGAAGAGAAAAATACTGGTGTGATGTATGTGCAATATCTCATTGTGTTGGAATGATTTACTGCAGTACTTTTTTGTCCATAGAAATAATTAGGTCTTTTAAGCAGTAATGCTGCCAGGACAATTTGCAGAAATTAATGGACTTGCACCTTCACTGAGATCAACTGACAATACTAAAGTGACAAATTTTAGTTTTTAATTTTCATACAACACAGTGACATGACAGTGTGTTGGATTCTTCTGGTTTTATTTCTCCAGGTAATCAGACTGCTTTGGGCAGGCTTGCCAGTCCATATCCTTAAGAAGCAAGGAATGGAGGAGATACGAATAGATTACACTGATCTGTCACATGGATTTTTCAAAATGAATCAAAGATTAAGTTGACTTTAGTCTGCCAGAAAGACGGCTACAGCTTTCCATATGAATTTTTCATATTTTCATGAAACCATGGATTTACCATGAGCACAAGCTGTTTATTTTCTAATTAAAGGGCTGTTCTTCAGCTGTGATACATGTTAAAAGGTTAGTGCACATGAATGTTATTAGAAATACCTAATTTAAAAGAAAAGCTAAAGAGATTTGTACTTTACATCGATTGAACCAACTTTGGTAATTTAACAAAAAGTAGTGCTCAAGTCTTAGAGAACTGCTATGTAGCATTTTTAGCAGCTGCTCATATAGAGATTCTGTGAAACAGTTCTGCTTCAGCAGGTTTGGAAGTAATCCCCTTACACGAATTTCCTCATGAGTTAAATCTCTAAAAACCTCTTGGAGAACACTATAAGAAATTCACTACAGAGGGGGGCAATGTTTCATTGAAAAAAACCTCAGAAAACACAGAATTAGGTCTTGCAGTATATGAAAACATAATACAATGGAGAGCCAAATGGCTCACAACCCTGGAGAATGTTTCTAGTAAATTTTAGAAGTAAACTGTCAAATGTTAGCCAGTTTCTGGCAGTCCAGAGGTGTGAGAGAACAGTATGTACAGAAATAAAGCCACTGGTACCATCCGCCTTACTTTTCAAACCATAAGTAAATTTGTCAAAAAGTTAATGCTATTATAGAGATGGAAAAGACTTCGAGAGTTAGTTTGCCTTAATACTGGCAATCCTGAGGTAGTAAAGATAAATTACCAATTAGTTTTTGGGAAGTATGCTTTTGAACTGACAAGCTTACACAATAAAATAGTACTATTCAAACTAAATTAACAGATCAAAAACTTTTACTTAGCAGGAGACATCATTATTTATGTACACTCTAGGTCCCAATTATATACATCCATCTTGCTAAAAAGTACTGCTCTACAGTCAGTCAACGACAGCTGCATCAGCTGCCAAGACAAAACTCTTTTTTGATTACATTTTATGGGGAGACTTTTGAGCTCTAAATTCTATTAGACAAAGTTCTAGTAGAAAATAATAAGCTTGGGCAATTTTACTATAATGCTAATATCAACCAGAGTAAATACTATAAGGTACTGAATCACTAGGGGTGGGAAGTGGCATCAAGAAGGACTGAATTCTGGGGGGTGGGAAGTGGCACTAGGAAGAAGCTCAAGAGCTTCTCTAGATAAACTTTAGACAGAAAAAGTATGCATATAAGGCAATGTGGAAGCCATTTCAGAAAGCTCAAAAGGTAACCTACCTTTGGAATTCATTGCGTCACAAAAAGATGGAGCATTTTAGATGAAAAATAGCTGCAGTACAATGACCTTATGCTCTGGGATTGTAAAATTATGCCAGTTTGCTCAAGGAATATAACAAGAATTTGCCTTTTTGACTCCCAAGCTGTCAATAGCAACCTTTCCAAATGTATTCTCCCAGAGATAAAGCCACAGACATACAACTCTTGTAGGGTAAACCACTTTGGCTCTGAAGATTTCACTGGCAGTATCTGCATTAGACTTAAAAAACCAACCAACCAAAAAAAAAAAAAAAACCCACAAAAGAAAAAGCCACCAAGGTAGAAAATAAATAGCTAGTCTGTGAAAACCAGAAAAAGCATCATGTCCTCCCATTTCCCTGACTCCAGTTTTGCAATATGGAGAACATAATGGAGAAAAAAAAATGAGAAGGGATTAATAAGAGCTGCAACAGTAAAAAGAATAGTGTCTGTAGCCCTTAATATAGGTTGCCAGCAGTCATGTTCCTTCCTTTTGTGGGGTTCCAAACACCTTTTCTCAAAAAAAAAGTTTATTAGAATTAGAAGCAGTAAAGAAAACAATTAAGATCATATCAACAGAGTGTTTTCCACAGGAGGAGATACTGAAACAACCTAGATCTTTGAGCACTCTAGACAGGGGGAAATAAGAAAAGGGTGACAGAAAGATGTTAGAGGTTCAATATAAAGCATGGAAAAAGTGAATGTTTTTCACAATAAAGAATTGAAATATAACTTAAATATGAATTAAATAGTACCTCAAATGTAAGCTATTTTGTTTCATTTTCTTCTGTGATTTTTTTTTTATTTTCTTTTTGAGGAACAGTTATAGCAGACTGCTATAGAAACAAGTTTATTTGGTTTGTTTCTTACATTGTTTCAGTAGCTAGAAAAAAATTTGTCCTGTCCAGAAGTGATTCTCCTCTGTGCTACAGAAATTAAACTATGAACAAGAAATGACAGTGCTTTACATAAAAGCTAAAATTTTATCTTGTTCATATATAATCAATTTCAAATCGTAAAGAGAAAATCTATCAAAATTTTAAGTATTGAAAAGTAGTTCTGCCTCACCTTAAAATTCTTGTAAGATTACAAGTGAAACTGAAAACAAACTCCAAACTGAAGTACATGCAGCAGGCAAATGAACGGAGATTTTCAGTGCACTGCTTCACCACCACAGTGCAAACTGGTGGGGTTTTGTTTGTTGTGAGTTTTTTTCACCCCCTTTCTTAATTAAAGTTCAGGATAAGTATCAACAATTATAGATTTAACAGTACACTGAAGACAGCAAACATTAGAGAGTATATTAAATTGAAATATAGCAAAACATTCAGTTTGGAGAAACACTGGAAAGTGAGCAAGTGAGAGGTGTAACCAAAAAAAAAGCCCAACGCTAGGAAAGATGTGCCTCCTGAAAACCCCATGTATTCTTAGAAGTTATACTAGAATAAGCTCCTCTTTAAACTGTGTGAAAAGTCAACTAGTTTTCACATTGTAATATGTCACAGAACAAGCTTCAAACTAATCTTCTCCTTCAGAATGACTATTTAGAATAGAAAGCTTTTGATTGCAGACATTGTGACTTGCTGAAGCTGAGATTTTTTGATTATTTCTCTTTCTTTAGATCAGCTTTTGATCTTTCAGTTGAGAAAGGATTATGCAGACAGATGTAGACTTCCGCAAGCAAAACATGGCTTTCCAGCTGATCATAGATTTTCATACATCTGGGAGCTAGCCACAGTCTGAAATTTCTATTTAGCTCACTTTGAGCAAAAAATAAAAATACATAAAGCCACTGATATAAGTATGGGTACACCAATTTGTAGTAAACTATATTGCATCAATAACAATGTTCTATAGATTTGAACACCTGGAAAACAAATGAAAGTGATACAAACACCCTCCCCAACAGTAAAAGAAAACAAAAAAACCCAAAAGAAATCTCCCCAAAAAACCAAAACCAAAATAAAAAAAACCCACGAAACCCCCGAACAACCCAAAAACCAAATAAAAAAAAAAAAAAACAAAAAAACAAAAACCAACCAATCAAAAAAAAAAAAAAGTTTTCATGAATATTTTCTTTACACTGCACTTTTCACTCTAACACTTTAAAGCACTTTACAACCACAAATAAAAGAAATTCCACACAGTTCATGAAATCCATCTGTCCTAACTGCAGTCTTGGTAACAAAATACGCTACTCTAGATATGTAATTCCATCTGAGCCTCTTGTTGCAATTACTGCTTTGTTACATTCTCAATGTGCATAATTAGGCACATTTCACTGTGTAAATCACTGCACTCTACTAGAAAAGCTTCTGTTAACAACATTTTTTTGAGGAAGAACATGTATTCAGAATTTAGAACATTTGCATCAGGCCATTATTTGTTGAAGTTCAGTTTATCATGTCTGTGTTTTGGTGTCTTCTGCGCTTTATCAGCCTTTCTTTTCTTAAATAGTCTCAAAAATTTAGCAAAAATACACACAAGTTTTAGTAGCATGAAAAGCATGTAGATAATGCATTAGCAGTATCTTTACCTAAGTTAAGGTTTGTGTATATTAATTAGTTCCTATATATATTTTTGTAGTTTGTTCATCAATACCTGATTTGTCAAAAGTAAAACAAAGCTATTTTACCATAGCTCAGTAGCAACAGAATATTCATCCCAACAACTGGGAAACAATGTATATTGCCAGAGCACTACATTTCTTTTATGTATGTTCATTTTGCATACAAAAGAAGTCTTACCCAGCTCTAGTAGTTTTATATTCCACCTTAAGAATAGGTTTGCAGGGTTCTGGCTTCTTTCCATCCTTCAGCTGCTTTCCTAAAGTAAATTATTTTCTTATATTAATCTTACAGTTCATTATGGCAATTAATGGAATTCCCTATCCAACATGAGAAGTAGAACATTCATATAAACATATATTCAACAACTTTGACAATTACAGAGTATGTCTTGGAATAATATAATTAAAAATTTGTTAAACTCTCAATACACCAACCTGGAATGTTTACAAAAAAAACCAACCACCAATCCTATACCTAAATGTTGCAGGATATTTATTTTCAAACATATAATCATCCCCTAAAGTCTTGTTTTAAGTAGCACTAGGAGATTTAAAGTTTAAGTTGTGTCAAGCATTTTGCAGTTAAATTTGGTTAGCTTACAAGTAAAGTGAGGTTTATCCTGAGTGTTATCCTTCAGGACTAAGACTTCAATTGAGCATGAAACCCTGCTCTTCCTCAACTGTGCACTACTGGAAACTGAAGCTACTATAGATACAATTTTTCATAGAGTCAGTAGAAATTAAGGGTGTGGTGTAAATATACATCTTTTCTATCTGACCATTGATAAAATACGATACAACTATGAAGTTCTGCAGAAAGTTTAATTTCCAGCCCATAATAAAAATAATGTTTATTAAAAGAGGTCAAAACATAACATTAGTCTTGTCTAAGTAGTTTTACTACTACAGTAATAGCTTCTTTTTCAACGACAGGAAAAATGGTACAGGATCATATAGAAATCCACAGCTTCTTTTTTTTCCACTCTAGTCCATGGTCAGTACAGTAAACATAGCCTTGCTAGAGGCTCAGACAGATAAACCAGGACACATAACTACAGCATTCTGCATTACATTTGTAACCTCACAGATTATCCTCACTGTTACATTACTTAAGAATCTGAAGTAAATAAATTGTTAAGACATAACTTAGAGACATGCACACCCTGTAACCTTAGGATTTTATAGAACTTAGTTGAAGAGCAGCAGCATATTTCACAGAATAACAACATGCAATGTTAATTTCCTCAATTAACATTAATGTAAGACCTCTCAGAAGCGGGAACATTTTACCAGATGCTAGTCTCATTCTGTTACAAACCTTTCCAGAAATTGACGTGGTAATCTACACATTTAAACGTAAAACAGATGCTTCCTTATATGTATTTTAAACAACATATGGGATTGCAATGTCAAGCAAAAAGTAAGCCCTGCAAAATACGCATTAGTTAACTTTGAGATCAATGCCACTGTGTGAAAGGCAAGCTTGAAGTTTAGAGATTTAGAGAAAACTACACTGATTTGGATTCTTATTTCATAAAGACTTTTTTTAGTGAAATCTACCAGAATTTCATAGGACAGAGAAAGCTTTTTACGTGCATTTCAAGTGTACTTTTAATATTTGTTTTTTTGCAAAACACACTGCTATTAAAAACAAGTCCTCTGTGTTTTAAGAGCTGCCAAACACAGTTGGTATCCATTTTCATCTTACCATGTGGAGTGATTGTCTGGAATGGTTTGGTAGGAGATTTTACATTCCATATGGTCAAGGTACCATCTGAGTGACTACAAATAAATTGTTTTCCTTCATGATGCCAAGCCACAGAGTGGATAGCCTATGCAAGAGAAGAGAAAAAACAGAACAGCACAAGTTGTGTATCTTATCATTTTATCCTTACATCTTCCTCAACGACATTAGACAGCGTAAGCAAATTAGAGAAATTACTAATTAAATATACTGCTCTTAGTATGTACTAATTTACCCATGGTAAGTTTGCTGTTCTTAAGTAGTACCTTCGGTCATACTTTATCCATCAAAAATACTGTCTTCATTGTAGTGACATGTTTAAGGAGGGGAAAAATCATCCTCCTCAGCGTAGCATTGAAGCATTTTTCAATGAAAGGTAGCACACAGGGAATAACTGCAAGCAATTATTTGAGCTTTGCTAACCAAAATTTTTCACTATTGGGAAAAACATACTGTCCATACAAAAAACATGGGATGGGATTATTATGTCCAAGTATTATATGACATTTTGAGGTGTCTATATGGATGTGCACAAGAGGCAAGCACGGGCTGAAAATATAAGCAAAATGAGAATAGAGGTAGCAAGGTTTTTTGAAATTATGATGACAAAAACAAAGTATTATTGAAGAAAATACTCTAACATTGCAATGGCAGTTTTGAGGTGCAGGAAAGTACAGAAATCTACTAGTAAATCTTTCATAAAAATCTTTCATATATACAGGAACATCTTTATTTTCATAAAATTAGGAATGGAATGATTAAGCCATGCCACATGAAATCTGCAGAAAAAAAGCTGACTAAATAAAGTCCTCTGTGAGGAAACGTGGATGTATGAGTAGTAAAGAACTGTAACTAGCAATGAAAGCTTAAGCAATAACTATTAGGTGAAGAGCAAATCTCATGAGACAAATCTAAGCCATCTTTGCCCAAACTGATTATACACAGATCAGGTCTTCATATTTCATACACTTATACAAAGAAACAAGACAGTTTCCAGCGATATGACTGGGAGAATCCAGAGCTTAAGTGACAGAGGAAAATGGTTACAGTAAATGAGTGGAGTCTTCAATAATAATTTTTCCAGTCTAAAGTAATAGAAGATCTGGATATATGTAAACTACAGATTAACTAAGTTTAATATTTCTTGGTGAAATTTAATCTTGTTCCCTATGTATTGTGGAATCACATAGGTTTTGCTAGAATACAGATTGTCTGTACCAATATCACATCTGCACATGTAGCTCAGAAACCTAGATGATTCACATGATGTCTCCTAGTGTCAAAGTGAAATAGTCTTGCTCATTCTGTACATGAAATTTTTGTTTAGCAAAAAAAGGTTTTACAAAAGAAACTTTGCATAAATACAGAACATTTGTTTTTATTTACCAACATAGTACCAAATAAAGGAAGAGATCAACAGTAAAGAGACTCAGTAAAGAGAAGGTTTCATTTCAAAAAGCTCTGACACTAGGAAATTAAAATATCTATATTATGTTTAGCAATACAATCCAATCAGTACATTTTACATACTCTCCCACACTGACAATAGTAGGCACCCCATAGTGCAAATGGAACGGTTTGACACACACTTATGTATAAATAGGTCTTAAGAACTAGTAAGAAAGCAAGCTTTATAGAAGTAAGGAATGAAGGACAAATCTGAGAAATGAACACTACTTTCTTTTCTTGAAAAACAATCTCAAGAGGAAGGGAATGCAACAACCTCTTACTGTTGAAACAGCATTAATGCTTAAGAACATAAAAAGATCTGATAAACTGAGCACAAAGGAGAAGGATGACTGCTACCACAGTTTCTGCAAGGAACATGAAGGGATGGAAAAAAATCACCGAAAGAGAATGATGTTTTATGGCTATTTATTGTTAGTTTTATAGAACCACTTGTTATATTTAGTAATGCAGCTAAATATTGTTTAAACTGCAACAAAAATACGTGTTTTATGTTTTATAAAATAATCCAACTAACAATACTATGGGCTGGGTATGATAAAGTTCTGTACAGAGCACTGTCCTTTGCTATCACACAGTTCACAAATTCTTGTAAACCTGAAAAACAAAACCAAACCTGATTAAGCTGCAGCATAATCTCCAGGTACAACAGGCTGGTATATCTACAGTGACAAGTCAGCTATAATGACAAAAGTACAATAAACTTAGGTAGTACTGGTTGGTTGATAGCAATAGTCTCAATCACCAAAAGAAATCTGATAGCTGAAAAATCATCTCAGTACTCAAGAGCAAAAAAGATTTGAAGGAAAGCATAAAACAGAAAGATCAAGCAGAATCCACTGAGGCTGCAAATCTATGCATAGTTTCTCAGACATTAAAAGGCCTCTACAAGTAATATATTTTTCCAATATTTTATAAAAATTTACTGATTCAGAATAAAACTCGAAGTTTTAATCATAATTCTCATCATGATTTAAACTTCACCTGTTACCCCTTTGGTACCATAATGCAGCAGGTGCAGATTCAACTGTCTCTCAAATATTTTTTTGGAATATATCACTTGTCAAACAGATCCCACACTGAAAGTAATACCTTATAACAAGATCATATACAAGTACCACAGAGGACTGTTACTATATTTAAGGCACAAGACATCTGTATCAAGTAGAATTATCTGCACAGGTAAAACAAGTCCTGACCTCAACTAACATTCTGAATCCTTCCATTTGTGAACATGAACCAAATACAGTGAAGTTTACAGGAATTTATACAGGGAACACTCTATTGAAAAAGCAATGAAGTTTATCTAAATAAATCTTTAAGTTTACTTAATTACAACTGAAGGTTTCTTATTAAAAGTATTCCTATCCCCTTCCCTTTAATTCAAATTTAAGGTAGCTGTTCTGGACCGTAAGGAAGGTTGTTTCAAAACTTCTGAGACAGTTACATGTTTTCTTGGGAGGGAAGGAAATCAAATCTTACTTTTTCGAATAACAAACACAGCACAATTGACCACACTGTCCTACGTATGCCAAAACTTTACCAGAAATTGTAGAAACTATCTATCCCTGAGTATTATGTGGAGACAGGCTGTACACAAAGGCAGCCTCACTTTCACCACCTGTTCCAGAAGGATTATCCCATGTGGAAAAATGACAGCCATACTGCCTGCAAAGATACACATATTTGATTTTAAGAAGGAAACATTCTTGCACCAACTAGCTTTTCAAGAGATTAATACACGTTTAAAAACATTTTATGTCTATATCCCTAGAAATCAGTATTATTTTTGGCTCTTTTAAGAGGTACAAAAACTAATAATTTAAATGGAATCTTACAATGTAATATACAAGTTCATCAATAAAGAGTAAGCTCTATTCAGCAAAACTAAAACATCAGTGTGTTATCACTTTCATAGTGAATCCAACACACATAGCACTGTGCCAGCTATTAGGATGAAAATTAAACCTATCCCAGCCAAAACCAGTACATGCAGGAATTCACTGATGTAAATACAAAAGCTATTAATTTAAGTAGTTTACCCTGTTTTCAAAAGAATTTTTAAATTCATTTTTCCAAAGCCAAGTTTAGACTACTGCAAATAAAAGTTGGTAAAATTCAGGGGAAATAAAAAAATCTAAGTAAACTGTCCTTTTTTTTAACTAATATGCATCTTATTGCTTACTTTTCAAGTATAACACAATTTGTGGGAAAATAGTTCTGAATACTTTCCCAGAGGAATGCAGAGACACTGATAATTCCTTTCATAATTCTTTGGATTTTGCCATGATCCTTTACTTTCTTCTGACATTAATTTAGCTTGAAATATACTGTGCAAGACATAAGCAAAGTCATTCTGCAAGTCAGACTGATTATTAACCATAGCCTATCCAGATTTCACTGCCTTATTATGAAAGTAATTTAATTTCCATGGACACTCTCAGTATTTCTGTTAATGAATAGATGATCATACTAACTCCTTTTCTACAGGTTTACCAAAATATTCAAATAAAGTATAGTAAAACTTGGGAGTACCTATGCTAACCCTCTTGTCAACAATCTAAGAAAAGAAGGGGAAAAAAGCTGCAAAAGGAAGAAAAAAAAAACAACAACAAAAAATGCAGCTACTGAGATTTAAATGACAATACATCATGAAGATTGTTTTGATGAAATGAAATACATTGACACACTTAGTTTTCTGGCAAGTCATATCCCAGGGTTGTTTCTCTTTCCCCAGTCCTCTTAATTCCACAGGCTACTTTGACATGTTTTTAATGCTGGAAAATAATCTCTTACACTCAGCCATGTACCAGAATATTGTGTCTAAAAATAGTAATCTATAATACATTACAGTTAATGCTATCAAAGCTTACTTTACATCAGAACAAACAAAATATTACTTGAAGAAGGGACTTTATTATACAACTAGTTTTAGTTTTCAGAAGTTACATTTGAGGGGTATTTTTTAGAAACAAAACTTATAGTTGAGAAATTTGTTTTATTTCTTTCCTGGATCAAAATACAGGCTGGGAAATAACTGCAATATAAGTGTATTCCACATAAGAAATGCAAAGCTTACTTTAAGTCCCCAATGTCTGAACATAAAAGGCTTAAGAATGGTGCAAAAAAAATTTAGTCTTATTTTTTCACTGAGCCTGCCCAGGAAAAAAAGGGATGCTTTGAGTAAAGGGTTTCAAAGAAACCTTCTAAAGAAAGGTCCCTTCACAACTTCAGTTCTACTATGTAGAGATAATTTCCTTTAAATTATCTGAAAAAGAATATTACATTTGTGTATTATTTAAATTAACTCTAAATACACAAAATATTACTGTTATAATAAAAAATATACACTACTTTAAGTCAGGATATTATTTGCAATATAGAAAAACCAAGAACAAACTCCAATTAAATTTCCTGAATTTTCCATGAACTAGAATGTTGTGGAGGGAAGAATATGCCAGCAGTCAACACTAGTCGTGACACAGAGCTGCCTCCCTCAGCTATGGTTAAGCAGAAATCCCATTACAAACGGTTTGGGGGTGGGTGATGTTCCTGCCCTTGGGATGAGTGTCCTAGTGTTCTTGTGCAACAACTATTAGAGCAGGGTGCTGGAAAGGCACACATGTGAAGAAAATGGTGTTCCACTGACCTAGGTTTCAGCAACAAAAGAGACTGCCGCACTACAACATGGGAATTTGCTTCAGGAAAGCCTCCTAAAGGTCAGGCCATTTGAAATGAAACCAAGCAGGAAGCTACAAAAACGTAATTGGATTCAGCTTCTTCCCTCAGGAAATAACATAGATATCTTTTCACAAACCTCTGATCACGCACAGAGTTTGACCCTCATTATGATCTTCCTCTGCTAAGGAACAAAAGGATGACATTTGGATCCTTTCACACATTCAAAGTTTTCAGTCAAAAAAGTTGCATCAAATGATTGTGACAGACTGCACAAGCACTCAAGTTACACGCTCTAAGACTTAAGTAATTTATAAAGTGATGAGAGAGGAGGAAACTAATCCAATGGCAAAGTTTCTAGCAAGCATTCTTTATGGCATCAATGTGCCTGGCCACCCAGCTCATGGTGCCTGAGAAAGCCTAACCACCCACTAAGATGGCAAGTATGACAAAATTGAACTAAGTAGCTCTCTTCTTACTAGTTGTCAACTCCACACTCAGAAGAGCTCTCACCAAGAACAAGTGGAGAGCCAAGGACATAAATCCTGAGGTTTAAAATCCTGCTCCTGCTACAGGGCAGAATGTCATGTGCCTTCACCAATGTGAGAAGAGGTAAAACATGTTGTGACATTAGGTGCTTCCTTCCCCTTATGAGTGGGTTATCACACATGCCCATGGACCTTATGGTCAGTGTATGAAAGAAGTTCCCTGGTAAAGCCACTAAATCAGAGTCAACAAGAAACTATCTAGAAAGGTTCTGTGTACAGATATAAGACAAAACAGAACAGTTAAAAAGAGTTAAGTAGAGAAGAGCATGAAGAATAAAAGGTATACAAAGAGTTTCAGACTAGAAAAAGATGGAGACGTAAGTTTCTGAAACAAATGACAAATAGGTGCATGCAATGAAAATGGGAGAGAAAAATATTCTTCACATAACATACTTTAAGGCTTATACAGACATTTCTGAATACAAAGAAACCTCATTCAGCTCTGATAATCTACAGCCTAGACTACTTCAGATACTTCCCTCTTCAGAGAAACTCTTAAATGGTAGAACACACAAGTATCAAACCAGAACTGCCACCAAAAAACACCAAAAAACTCCTCTAAATCATGTCTTGTGAAAACTTCAGCACAGGGCTATGGAAAATACACCTGCTGTGAAACAAGTAATAGGCCTAGCTGGTACTGAACAATGACACAGCCATTTTACAATCAATAAAATGTAATTGAAACCAACTTTTTGTTATTTTTAAATAAAGTACATCAACTTGCATATTATGCTGAATGATTTTTCTTAATCTCAGTCTTTCAAAAAGTTTATTCTCAAGAATAAGGGTTTAAAGAAATGAATGCCATTTAATGCCATTGTTTTTTTAAACCTCCCCTAGTCTTATTTCAAACCCTGATCTTATCCTACAGAGAAAAGGTGTGTTTATAGAAATGTTGCAATGAGATTATTTAGTAGTTTCTTCCCCCCCGTTTTCAGAATATGCAAGAGATTCCAAATTACAGAAATTGCTAAACCATGTAGTTTCAACTTAAGACTCAAGCTCTTAATATAGGTGAAAATCACATGACTAAGAAAAAAGATCTGAAAGCTTCACCCACAAAAAAATTTGTGAAGAAATCCAATCCATGCCACCATTCACTACTTCACAAACTTAAATTCAGTAAACTTATTTGAAGTTCATTGTCCAAACTATACTGCTCTATTAGAGAAAACTTCAAGTACTTGTAATTTCAAAGAAACCTATTTATTGATCCACTGGTGAAAGAAGCAGGAGAAGAAATGAAAAAAAAATAAAAATCACCATTAGAGCAGTGAATGATATCCTCAGAGTAAGTAATGCAAATGAAAAACGTTACCTCATCATGTGTGTATCTGTAATCTGCCTTCTTTGACTTCAGGTCCCATAATACCACCGTTCCAGATTCAAAGCCAATCAGAAGCTGCATTAATAAGCAGAATTGTTAAGTCTTTATAAGGAAAAGTAAAATTATACCATTTGCAAATGCCTGTAGTTCTTGTTCCAAAGATATGCATCATCATACTTCATGTAGTAACTGAAAGTAGTTACAAAAATAAAAATTAAAGAGGTGAAGACCTAAATGCTAAAAAGGTTTACTTTGTACTTGTCATTCTCCTAAAGTTCCAGCAAATACAACGGACATTCATGCAAAACTAGAAAAAAATGAAAGTATCATTCCTTGGAAATCGCTTTGAGTTCCAGAAAGATCAACACTAAACCTTGCTAAATGTATTCCTTCATGAGTGAAAGTTGGGGGGCGGGTGGCAGTGTTGAAAAATAGAACTTCCATTGTGCGTTTTCCTCACTGGAATTCATTCTGCTTAGATTTGCTGGAAGAATATACTACCCTCCCTGAAGTTTCAGGTAAGAGTTCATTTTCTACAAAGAAAGTACTATAAACTTTCTCCAGATGTTAATTACAATTAAGATAACTGGCTAAAGAAAGACCAAAACCATTATTTATTCATAGGAGGAAAGCTAGAAAAATTCAACAAGAAAATTTCCCAAATAATCTTTTTGTTAGAAGCAAGATTAAACCTTTTCTGAAGGGAGAGAAGACTCAAATTGCTCACTATAATTGGTCTAACACATTGCTGAGTATCTACATGTTTTGCTCTCCTATTTCAAGTGACACTTCTCTTAATGGAAAAAAAAACCCAACAAGGCCAACATAAGGCAGTAGTAACAGTCTTGCCACTAGTTACATAGAAGAATGCAGTGCAGCTTCAGCTTTCCTAGTTGCTGGATCTACTGTGAGATCTTTCCTTTGAGCATTGTTGCTACAGCAGAAGCTGCTCCTAGGATTGAGTAGCATGCCTTCACTTTCAGTTTTTCCCCAACATGGACATACAAAAAAAAGGAGCAGTTGGCTGCTACAATTTACTCTGTTGAAACACACTATTTCCTGTGAGCAATGTGCCCTGAGGAGTGTCCTTCAGATTGTAAGTCAGAAACCACTGCCTTCACATGAACTTAGATTTAAATCAATATGATCTATTGCCCCACCTAGATGTTTTGCTTGGACAATCTTTTCAGTGTTAAGATTGTCAGGGTGTACAGCTGTTTTCAATATGAAAAATAACAGAGGATCTCCTATCAGCTTACAAAATATTTTACCTCTTTCAGTGCTATACAGCACTAAAACCCCATAAAAATTAGACGTTTGATCTAGTAAAAGTGAATATTCAATTTTTTCCATTAGTGATATGCACAGTATTAGTTTAAATCAACTTGCCAGTTATAAGCCATATTTTATAACTTTTCTATTTTGACTTAAACATTACAAAACCCACTGCTTAGAAGGCTAATAGAATGAACAAAATTTAAAAATGAATACATAAGGGGTTCTTGCAACAGCACATGGTTTTTTTCAGCAATACTTTTCTTATGAGAAATAAGAGAAGTGTAAGGTCAGAATCTAAACCACTGATTGATATCCTGATCAATAAACCCAGTCATTTTTAAACTTCAGTGGACAAAAATTAGATGTGGGGTGGAATACGCCAAAATAAATAAATAATTTTTCTTTTCTGAAACTACCATAGCTTCATTGTGTTCATATTCTAGAGTCCATAAGCCTGGAATGTCACTCAAACCTAATTCTACAGAGAAAATCATTAGTTATGGACTTACTGCAGTGAGCCTCACCCTAATGAAAAAACTCCACTCATTAAATTCTCTTTGTTGGACTGAAACTTCAGGTGTCTAGGATACAAGCTCATACTCATAACTAGCTAAAACATTCAAACCACTAAGACAATAGTATCTCTTCGATTGTCTCCAATTTAATCTACCACTGACCTGTCAAACAAAGCAAACTATTTTCTCTCTCCCTGAAGACTCTTTACACATGGGAGTTCAAAACTCTAGTATATTTGCAACATTACACTGACAAAAATAATAATTCAGTATTTAATTCATCACACTACTCAATTGCTTATTCCTTGTTAATCTAGAGTGGTGTCATTAATGCAGACGTTTAAAGCAGCATCAAGGGCTCTCTGGCTAAGTTATAACCGTACTTTTGCCAGGGGTCTATGTAGTTCTGGAAAAGGTTCATATAACACTGCTGCTTTCTAATAATTCTTTAAAATTTTGCATTATTCCTATAGTTAAAATTAAGGAAAACCCCTCCTGTCTACTCTTCAATGTGGACCAAGTAATCTGAACAAAATTAGCAGTAGACCACTAAGATGTGCTAAATAACTATATGGGGCACACAAGCTAAAGCATCTGAAAACCCTTCATAGTGTCTTAGCCCTGTGACACCAATCCAAATCTTGCAAAGAGGTCCACTTACTTAGCCTTGTAACCATGACTTAGGTGGGGAATGGCAGATTTGGTACTGCAGCAATTGCTGTCACCTAGAGAAGACATACTGGCATTTTAACTCCTTGCTTTCTCTTTTTAGCTCACAGTGAAGACTTAATTCATTAAGTTATGCATTCTACATTGTTTTTTCATGGGCCTCATAACAGATGTCCCACAGCAAAGGGTAGTACCTGTAGATTTACTTTAATACAGAAGGAACTCCTGACCGTTGAGTTCATAGCTCAACTTCTTTGTGGTTGCTATGCTGCAGGACAAAAATTCCTGTCTTCTGAGGGCTTCAAGAACATGTATTGTAAAGCTTCTTGCCAAGAGGAACAGATGATTATGTTAATACTATCTCATAAGAAGGAAATGACAAGTCTAATACATAGCTCTTTCTTACGCATTTTAGTTGAGTTTACTTTTCTGAAGTGGTTAATTGGACTACAGACCAGTTTCAATAGCAGACAGTAGCTAGTGATTATATTAAATTGCTTAAAATGTGGTTATGTGAGTTAGACCTCAAATTCCATAAAAACACTGTCTCAGATTAGTTAATCTAAAGATAAAGTATATGGTATTCCACATAAATATGCTATATAAATAAGCATTTTACAGTTGTGAAATTACAACACCCAAGAGCATGGTAAAGTTTAATTATTTTCCATCACGCTTTCAGCACTCAGGTTATGATTGGGGGGTTTTTTTTGTAACATCTTACCTTTTATCGCCATAAGTAAAATTCTTTGCTTTTATTTCCCAGGACTAAGCATTTTCATCTGTGTTTTCAAATGCTTCTGATTATAAGATTAATTATTCCAGTAATGAGTTCTACAGACATGTCTGTACCTTATTTCATGTTACTTTCAGAGTCTAAAATCTTGATTTAGAATTCCTTTACACTTTAAACATTGTCCTCATATACTTAATCCTTCCTTAAGTAGCAGTGGTATCTATACTTTAAAAATAAGTCTTCCTTGAAAAATAAGGTATTGAAGAGTCTTTAAACACATCCTACCTTTCCTTCATCCATTGGATTGTCACTAATGTGGACAATAGGTCCTGGGTGAGATTTGGACGAACTAAAAAAAGAAATATTTCCATTAAAAAGAATTTCCTCTGCTCTAAATTGCATCTCAAAAATATTGTAAGCAATACAGACTCTGCAGATACAGATTCCATGTAAGCAAGTTGTTCAGCGTGGAGTTACTTTCACCTTTTATCTTCAAGCCCATAAATACTGTGCCTATTTGTAGACACTTAGTTTCTGTCTTAAGGAAAGACTTATTTACTGCCTATCCACAAAAGAAAATTGCTATTACCTTTACAAAATTTATCTTAAAATCTGTTGTTACACAATTGATACAGTTGGATAAAATGTTTACTTTTATGCTGGAAAAACAGTTTTGGCATGAAATGCCCAAGGTGGCCATTGTTACAATAACACAGAATTAACACTTTATGTTAACTTCTTACTAAGAAGATGGACTAATGAAGAGCTGCGTTTGTTTCAACAGGCTTTGGAAACTGATGGACTTCATATGTTTTTGAAAACAGACATACTGGGAACAAAATAACTGCACAGGAACAGAAGCACACAACTATATCTTTTCACCCAAACCCCACTATATTTGTACACCCAAATTTGTCACTGAAAAAGGAAGAACAATGACAATAGCTGTAAAACGTATTTTGCTCTTGGCACAGGTTTATTTAAATTTAGGTTTTTAGACAGTCATTTTAATGAATGTATCATCAGCCCTCTTAAAAAATGCATTTCTTTACACTTTGGTCTTTAACTCTAAAGCTGTAAATGGGCCATGTCTGTCCAAGTACCAGTCACATCATAGTTTAATATATATTATTTCTCTTCTATTTTAGCACTACATGTAATGATTTTTAAGTCTATTCCCATATTGTCTGTTTTGTGTATTTCTATGTGTATTTCAGGCATGATGATAAAATATTGTTATAGGCAGAAACATATATACTAATTAACACTTCACATTCATGAAAACAAAAAGTATTTACATGACTACGTACTTTGATTGTATATTTAGTGTACTGAGACTAATATGGAGGCCACTCTAAATAATGACATTTCTGCATGTTAATAACAAGTGGGACACTGCCGTTCCCTCAACAGACAATACTTGACTAAACTCACAGTTCAATGGCTTTATTCCACATGATGACATAGCCTGAGAGAGTAAATGATTCCACATTGACAATGTGAATGTTTCCTCTTTCGGTCCCCACATACAGCCACTTGCTTTGGAAAGGCAGATGACAAAACGTTATCCTGAAAGAGAAAGTCACCAAAAAGAAATTAAAGAAATGTCTTTTGGATATCCTACACTTCAAGGTAGGAAAAATGCAATAGGCAACCAGGAAGGTATAAGACAAGTTCAAGTAGAAAAGGCAGTACAAGACAAAAGTACGAGATGGACAGACAATGAACAAACTTAGACTAAATAAAAAAATAGAAAGTGAAGTATTCTAAAACTCAAGTCATTCAGATAAGAAAAAAATATAGATTCCTTTGAAAATTATCAAATTGAATGTATCTGATCGAGACTTCTGTCATTTTAAACTTAAAATACAATACTCCTATATTCTACAAATCTCCCTTTGGAATCTACCTAGTCTCAAGCTTTAAAGAATTAAGGATTTTAGACATAGTCTTATGCAGATTAAGCTACTTTCAAGTAAGGATTCAAAGGCAAAAGATAAAACACAAGAAAAATAAGTTTACATGTAATCCAAATTGACCCCTAAAAAGTAAGCCTTAGAACAATCCTAAACAATTATAAAAGTAATTTTAAAAGTAGTTTAAATTCTGGGCTGTTACTTTAATTAAACCATGTTTTAATTTTCTGCCTTACAGTTTTCTCTTTTGCTAGAATGAAGTACCTGAACAAAACTCAAGAGCTAACAACTGTATGTACCAGCAGAGAACTCTTTTTGACCCTAGGTCCAGCATAAATAGTAATATTTGAAAACTCGATTATTTCTGTGCTCTTGGGTCCTGATTATTGTTGACTATTTCTTCAAGATAAGGAAATAATGTCTGTACAAACTGACAGAATGCTAACTTGAAACTGGAGCCTAGAAACTTTCTGGAAACTCTAAACCACTTTAATCTGACAAGGTCTAATATAAAAGAAACTACCAAACTACTTGACTATCAAACTAGGGCTTTCAGAAATGTTTCAGTGATAAGGTAAAACAATTATTAAATGGAAATTGTTCTGTTAGCTCTAATCCTTAGCTTTACAATTTTTTATGTTCTTGTTTTTTCCCAGGTGGGTTGCCTTATTGCCAAATCCATGCATCACTTCACAAGCCTGTTAATAAGTCTTCATGCAAAGAACAGCTTTAGATCCTTTGCATTAGATGCCGTATATGCACACCAACTTGAGCAGAAAGGAAAAGCTAATGGTAGCAATGAAAAATTGCTATGGCTGAAGAGATGTTAATTTGCATTGCAGGTTTCAAAAGTTAAGGTTTCTGTACTAATACTACCTGGATTCAAAAGCGTACCACTTTGTTTTTACATCACTAATTCCCTCTTAATTAGGAAATGCAGTTAACTCAAGTAAATCTTTAATTTATTTGTTTTTAACTTGATTTCTTTTCCTTGAACATTTATGCCAAAAAGAGGTACTCTTCTATCAAACGTTGATGTTTGATAGAAAAAAAGACCTAAAATGCTTTTCCAATTCATTGAAGTTATAGACATTGTAACACATTTAACTAAGCACACTATTCTGCAAAAACAACAGGTTAAAGAATTGTGTTTCCCCAATATCCTTGAAAAAAATATTTTAATGGAAGCTAAATCACAAACATCAGCACATGCACTTCCTAAGCAGGCAGTTACTATATATACAGCTAAAGCATAAAAATAAACCCTCAGCACTCTGCAACACCACTACTTTACGTGTCAGCACCCTATATGCCAGAAGTAGCTGGCAACCAGATCAGTTGGATCAAAAATCAAGGCCTAGCAGCCAGAAAAAGTATTCAGGAGCAGGGTTGTGGGCCTGTCCTGATTAGTAAGTCAATATTTGTCGATTACAGTTGGCCAACACTTCCATTATAAAAACCAATCTATTTCACAACATGTAAAGTGGGCAAAATAAAAGTTGGGGCTGCATCTTTGACTGCTATAGCACAAGGGTAACATTTAAAGAAGTGCCCAGCTCCTCAATAATCTTGATACTCTTCTTGAATATGAAGACCTATTGAATTTACTGTCTCCTCTGTGCAACCGAGATTAATTTTGTCAAGAGTTAGCAAACAATGAAATGATTCCATACCAATAGTAAATAAGAACAGAACAGGTAACTTCACAAAATATTTACAAACTCTTGAAGGCAGGAGGTTGAAGAGACTCCAAAATTTTGAAGTATAGGCACATAACTGGGTTCTTAACCTTATCTTTTAAAGTGTGCTTTTTCCCAGTCTTATACAAGCAGAACAAGTCTTGTATGATTTTTCTATAAACAAAAAAATATTCTTAGAGCTTTTCTTTCACAGAACAACCAGTTAAATCTGAAAGGAATTTGCCACAATGATCTTGCTAGAAAAATCAATGTTTCTCCTTGAATGTAGTAAATGATACTCCATTTGCAAATAAAAATATTTACTGTTTCTTTATTTTCTTAAAAGAAAAACTATGCCTTCCAACTTTCAGAAATTTAACTATATCTTGACCAAAGTGACTTACTTCAGATAACTGCATTTATTTTAGCAATTTACAGAGTAAAATTTCCATCATTAGAGTTCATGTACTGAGCTTGTCCCTTCACGGAGTAAGGCTTCACCTTAAACTATACAGATTTTAAACAACCTTGCAAGTTTTACAGCCCTCTTAAAAACTAAAAACCACCATCTGAATGGCCAGCGATGACATACTAGCATTGGTCATACAGGTTGCTTTTGGTGGCCTTTTTTGCTCTGCTCAGAACTGGACTGAGGATTAAAGAGATTCAAACTCATTTTGGAGGATGGAAACAAAAGGTTAGAGTCTTCTTCGTAGTGATGCTATACTTGCTTATTTGACACTTGGCCAAGGACAGGATATATTTTTCTCTGAAAAAATGTAAATTTTTCTTTAAGAAACCTATCTTCCTGCCACAAGATTAGAATAATATACTTCATCCATAACATATTTTAAGATCAAGAGAAGTGAAAGTGGGCATTCACAAAAATCTTAATTGTTGTTGTTTCACAACATATATCAGAAGAATTACTACAGCAAGTGATAATAGAATTTCATTTTAGAGGAATTATAGAAATATTAAAGAACATGACTTATTAAATTAATATGTAAGTAAAAAAATTAGGTTTTTAAGAGAAATATTATAGAAAAATGATAGGCTGCTATCTTGACTGTATTATTAGGACAACAGAAATCCTTCTAAATTCATCTTTACCTTTCCTTAGTCTACTGCATTATGAAGCATTACACATTCTTCAGAATTTTCCATTGCTTTAACAGAGCACAGTGACAAATACTATGAAGTATGACAAAGACTGATAACAGGTTTCATTGTTAAGCCACTAAAACTATTTCTAGTGCCTCAGGCTATCATTATAGGTCTGCAGTTATTGTAACTATACTACCTGTTCTGACCATTATTGTATAAGCAACATAAAAATTTTCTAAGAAGCAAAGCATTAAGCTACCAGAGTTGTACTCTGCACTCCTTTATCTTCAACCTCACATGCATGAGAGAGGATAATGTAAAATTCAGAAGCTAAGAAGTTTAATTCTTATGCTAGCATGGATTCCACACCCATGGTTTCTTGTCGAAGCCTTCCAAGGTCTTAAAAAAATCAAGAACCAGTGTCAGAATGACATACTGATGGAAACAAGCAGTAGCTTTGATTCTGCCAGACTGCTGCAAAGGGTCTTTTTTCACATCTGGTAACTGCAATTAGCTTAAAGCACCTACTTGTACAAAAAAAGCACTCAAAGACCAGAAGGCACATGCAGAGGAAGAAATCCTCTTCAATGTATCTCAAAATTGTTCTACTAAAAGACCATGTCGGTAAATGCAATATATCATAGGAACTGAACCAGGTACTCCACTTTCATTTATATCCATAACAGCACTCCAAATAGTGCTTCTCCAAATATATTGGCTTAAACAGCTGCCTCTTAAGGCAGCTGAGAAATACCTAAGTTCAATATCTGAGTTGTGGTAGACACTAGTGGTGTCAAGATGGAGTAATGGGTAAACGTGTTAGAGAAAGCTACTCAAGTGTCTTGTGATGCCATGGTCTGGTTACTTTTTGAGTCATGTCAGACATACCAAGAGGAGTTCACAAATATGTAGTGCAGACTATTTCATCAGTGGTAAGGAATCATCAGATCTTTAGGGTGTTTGGTGTGAATTTTTTTTCATTTTTGTATCAGTTGCCTCGAAAGGTATGTAGGAAGTTACAAACTCTGACTTAAAATAAATAAATAAATGGTCATTTCAGAGATGTAGCTTTCCCACAGAAGACAGAAAAATTATGCTTGTCACAGATGAAGAAGTCTGTCAGATAGGCAGGGCTTAGAGGTCAAATTCTGCCCAAGAACAGCTGGCCATTATATGCCTCATACCACTGTGAAAGTCAGTGCGAAAGGAAAACAGCTAACAGGGCAACAGAGGCAATCTAAAAGCTGACCCTGAAATCTGAAATTTCTGAGTAACAGGATTCAGCACACTGGTTTGTCTCAGTGCCAAAAGGCAGCAGAAGGCAACTGATGCAATTACAGTTCCATTGACCACACTTGCATGTGGAATTCTGCACAAACGCATGGCCTCAAGACAACACTTTTCAAAGGAATCTGATCTTCATGAAACAAACATTCACATCTACAGCAAATCCAGGGAGTCAATAAATTCATCTTCTTCTGCTAATTTCCTGAAAGAAGATCAAACTCCTAATTACATCATCTAGTGGTTCACCACTGAGTTAAATTTTTAACCTCAGCAGCTAAAAGGCTTTATATGACACCGTCAAGTAAATAGACCCGGTGATAACTTCTTTTCACTCTAAAGAAAGTAATTTTAAAAAGGCTAAAAAAAACCCCAAACCTTAGTTACGTGCGAGAAACTTAGTTGTGTTGTATATTAAACTCGTAGTCGATATATCATTGACTGCAAAGACTCCAAGTATTTAACTTCTCAGATCTATTGTTTTGGGTATGTATTTGTAATCCAGGGGAAAAGGGAAAAAGCCAGGTCTTAAAGGTTGAAGTGAAACAGTGATATTTATTCAGAGAAAGGAGAAGAAAAAAAC